GGTAATGGATGTCACGTGAACACTGTTGCGCTCATGGGAATCTTGACGTATAAAAATTACATTTTTCAGTCAATATGTGCGTACCCTGTATGTGATGGATAGCTTTTGTTATTTTACATTATTAAAATGTCCAGTTTATTATCATGGCAAAAATTAATATGCAAAATAGGTTTTATTTTTTAATTAGCCAAGCTGTCCACTTTATTAGCATGGCTGCACAAAATATTAATTTGTGGACATTATTAAAATGTTTTATGGTTCTCACAAAAAAGTAAATCAAACGTGATGGCACCCTTGACAACAATGTCATGGACCTACATACAAAAGCTACGCATTTGTGTAAACATGGCCCCCACAACCTTGGTCATTATATTCTTCCCCTCTTGTCTATTTTTTTCCTTCAAGAGTTCACAGTGTGGTTTTCTCTCTGTCCCTCTCCCGCCATCAACTTGAATTATTTTATTTGCTTGGAAGTTTTTGAAGTTGTTCACATTTTTCGCCAAACTCAAAGAACAAATGGCAAATGACGCAGGTCCGAGTCACCGCGTTGCACTTTCCATTCCCGCCCGGGAAGCTATCGATGAAATTGCGAGGGAAATGGTGATCGAAACTGATCACAACTTGGTAGAAGCGTATAACAGTGTGGCAAGATATTATTACAACAATTATTACAGAGTCCCTCGAAATACGTCAATACTTTCGGGACGTTTATGGATGTTTGAGTTGTTTAACGGCCACCAGGGCCGGTTTGAAGATAATGTCAGTATGTCACAACCAGTGTTCTTGTTGTTATGCGATGCGCTTCACAGTTTCGGATTGACGTTGCCGGAGCGCGAGCATGGTGTTTCGCTGGAAGAGAAGGTAGCCATTTTTATTTGTGCGTTGCAGGGTCTATCTTGGAAACATTTGCAAGAACGGTTCCAACACTCAAAGGAGACATTGTCACGCAATTTTCATGAGGTAATGCAAGTTATGATACCGTTTACATCGGTTCATAGTAGGAGTCTTACGCCCGAATAAGGGGGCCATCCACATTTACGGTCATAGCAGCGGTACCGGGCATTCAAGGTGACATTTCCATAAACGTGCAAATTTTTTAAAGCTTACAAAAAAACCATGATGAGGCCAAAATAAAAGAGGCTATCAATTACTGTCGGCCCAATGGGTGGTATGTATGTCAAACAAAATTAAAAAACAAGTACTAAAATTGTAACATGAATTACCAATAAACAGTAGCAAAATAATTTATTCAAAAAGAATTGAAGTTAGCCTGTATACTTGATTTTAAGATAAATTATATTCACATCTGTAAAATAATGAACAAAACTACCGTTAAACGTGTCAATTCTAAATAATTTTTTTTTTCTTCACAGTAGTTGTAATTTTGATGGTACTAATAGCTGATGAAATTATTATATTATGGTTACATAGTTTACATTTCAAACTTTGTCTAACAATAGTTACAAATTAGGTAAATTGTAAATATACCTGATGGAATTTTCTTAAAAAACAAATTGTTTGCTGTGATTTGAAAAATCAGAACTACTCATTCATTTAAAAAATTGATTTTTAACAGAATTAACTTCTCACAATAAAATTTATAATTGCTCTCTTATACATTCTATAAAATAACCTAAATTTATGAAACAAAATTTTAACATTATTAAAATTGTTAATTATAAATGATGATTTATTAATAAACTGTTTGACCAACAGATGTGCAATGGTATTATCAACTAACTAACTTTTTTATTTTACAAACAGAACAATATAATTTTATAAAGTTTCGCCGATTAATAATTGTAATTTTTGTTATTGTTTTTCCTTTTTCTCAAGTCAAAAACCAAGTACAGAATAATGTTGGGCTTCTATGGACTAATCATAGACAGCTTACATTGATTGTGCAAACTATTCGATATATAGCGCTTGTTGAGTACTTATGTTAATATGTTAATTGATTGGTGCGTTGCGTAGGACTGCATCGGTGCATTGGACGGGACGCACATGATGGCTCGTGTCTCACAGGAGTACGCCACATCATACTATGGTCGGAAAGGCGTGCCGACACAGAATATAATTGTTGTATGTGACTTTAATTTGTGCTTCACATTTGTCTCTGCCGGTTGGGATGGGAGCATGCACGACAGCCGGGTTTTGCACTACGTGACAACCGAAGAGAAACATCGCTTCCCGCACCCCGCACCAGGTACAAAATATTAAACCGAAATATGAATACGTAGAAACTATAAATATTAAAAATTTCCCAAAATGTAGTTTATTTCCCAAAATTCAAAATTTTGGAAAACAACTTAAAAAACATGAAACAAATGAAAATGAAAATTTTTCAAAAACAATGAAGTGGTATATAAGAATGTGAAAATGAAAATGACATGTTATAATTTATTGTTTACAATTTTTTGCAAAAGTACTCTTTCATAGAAATGTTGTTAATGAATTAGAAAGTAATTAGAAAAATGTTTGCGTAATTAGAATTATAATTGTTCACAACAAAAGAACTTCACAATGAAATTATAATTGAAAACAAAATTGGGATAAGAAAAATTTTTATTAATGAAAATGTAATTGTCCAAAAAAAACAAATTATTATAATTCACAAACAATGCTGTAATTGGGAATATAATTTTTGAGAACAAAAGGAATTGGGAGAAGGAGTAATTGAAAACAAAATTGGGAAAAAATTAATTTAGAAATGGAGAAATTATTCAACAAAAGAATTAATTATTAAAAAAAAAAACATTACGAACCAATGCAAGTTAATTGAAGAATAATTTAAGTGGTACACAATACTGTCAAATTGAAAATGAAATGAAACAAAGTTTGCAGGAAAATACTATTTGGTAGATAGCGGTTACAACAACAAGACATGGTACCTAGCCCCCTACAAGGGGTATAGGTATCACCAAAATGCCCATCGAAATCGAACACCGCAGAATCAGTTCGAAATGTTCAACAAGGCACATTCGTCACTGCGTAGTTGTATTGAGCGGACATTCGGTGCCTGGAAGTCTAGGTGGGGGGCATTGCGGAATATGCAGAAGTTAAGTTTTTCTAATCAAGTTACGTTTGTATGTGCATCGATGGCGTTACATAACTTCATACGCCGACATAGCGAACTTGATGAGGTCATGATGGGTATCCCAGACCGTGACGATTACGTGGCCCCCCAAATGCCCGACCACGACGAATACACACGGGTTGCTGATGTGATGGAGGAAGAGGACTCGGACCCTGCAATGGCCGCTGTAAGGGTGAACATTACTAACGCACTGGTACGGCAAGCACACCGGTAGGAGCAAATTGGAAATACAAGAATATCGTATGAAGGTTTTTGCAGTATCTTTTATAATAATTTGTTCTCAACTTGCCTATGCCAAAAAATAATTTCTAGCCATTTGTCAGAAAAAAAAGAAAACATAAAAAAAAGAAAAGGAAATTTGCATGACTGGGCATGTACGTGGTTTATCTTTTTTTATTCACATGTTATGATATGAATTCCCGAAAAT